GTTTTTAAACAACTTAATAACTTAAATATACAGGTGGACGCATCACAACAAAAACATTACTACCTTTTTGCCCTTGACGACCAAAGGAAGACGATGACAGATGATTGTATATTTTGTTTAATACTTGCATTGTTTCTATAGCGCAATTATAGCAATCTTTATTTACTTTTCATTACAAATATTTGTCAAGTTTTGTTTCAGAAACATTTTTCCTACTCTCTTGCACATGCACCCAGACACACTACAAAAAACTCATTCATAACACAGTAAGGGCAAACATTATTCATGTAAACATCTTTCATTAATTTCCCATAATTAAAAAAATCATAGAATTATAGATATTGAATAAGGCTCATAGATTTAGTTCAAATTCCACAAAAGACCAATCAAAGATGCTCTTAACTGTGATGGGGGTAACTTTTGGTTGCAATAAATGCTAAAAGCGTACCCCTGGCTTTCAATCCTCAAACATACCTCGCAACCTCATAAATGCATTTCAGGATAAATAGAGAACGTAGAAAACCCAGGAGGAAGAACTTTTGAATTAGGGAGCTCAGAACCATAGACCTAATTTCTTCTATGATAAGCAGGCATAATGTAGTCCCCATATTTCCCAATACGTGAATCAAGATTAATTACAGTACCCCAAAATGTAACCACATCGATATGTTAAGATACATTGGCATGTGTGTACATATTGCTAGTATACACAGTGAAAATTTGTCAGAAAATTTATCATTTCGTTATATCCAGGACCAAAGTGGAAAAAAGAAAACCCCCACTCAAGTTGAATATCATTATAAAGGAGTGTTCTAGTAACATAAAGGTCGGGAGTGTTGGGAGGTATGTCCCAGGGGTGCGATTGGTCTTGGTATTAAAGTCACAGACAGAGGAAGCGCGGACTGGCGTTATCCGAGGCCGTCTCTCTCTGGTTGGAAGTTTGGTGCTAACGTGCATAGTCTCCCAGAGCTGAGACAGGAAATGAACTGTGCTGACAAATGGGCCCCTTGCCAGCTGCGCCCTCCTCCTTCCTCTCTGTGAGGTGGAGGTCAGGAGGCAGGGACTGCTGGCAAAACCGTGAAGTCCCACCCTGGGGTCTGAACCCCAACTCCACTGAGGGCAGCCTCCCTGACATGTGTGACTAGGCAGTAAAGGGTGGCGGTGGATGCGGCCAGAAAACCCCGTTCTGAGGGTCGCACGGCCGCATCTGGCTTCTGATTCTGCTGCCCTGCAAAGAAATTGTGCTCCGGATAAATGCACCAGTGTCTCTAATGCCTCGAATTCACTCGCAGGCCCCCGTAAGGCCCAGAGCGATGTCACTAAAAGGTGGACACACCTCCACGAGCACCTAACTTACACCAGGAAGCGGCTGAGGCACTGGGGAAGCCTACAAGCTCTCTCCACGTCAGATGCAACAACGCCAGGAAGTTGCCTTGGGTCAGAGTTATTTGTAGGCTTTTGATTTTTAAAAATCAAAATTGATCGGCATGATATCTCGATAGACTCAGATAATTCTCACCAAAAATTTTGCAATTTGTTTAAATAGCACTGGAATAATTCAACTTCATTTAAATATATTCATTCTACCATGAAAATATTTCATACAAACATCTATTTACATACAAACACATTAAAATTTGTGAGAAGGGTTTCCACTCCGGTGGCTGTATGGCTTGAAATAGTTTCATTGCTTTGAGTATGTATGCACACGTTTGGCAAAATAAAACTATTAAAATGTAGTATTTTTAAAATAAAAAAAGTGACACCGAGGCTCCAATTCCTGAAGGAAAGATCAAAGAAAAAACAATCCATCAAGGTACCTCAGGTAGATGTAAATTTAATAGAGTTTGTGAACCTTTGATCTGTGGCAAATAAACATTACAACTATCATTCTTGCAACGTAGTTTTGCTTGTTTTTCTAAAACAAAAGAGGTCTGGATTCTAAGTCACTACTCTTCAGACAGAAACTTGGGGCAACTGTTTTAAAACAAAGCAAAATGGAAAACTGTACCTTCTTGGAAAATCTCAAATGCATTTTGCAGTGAGTGATTTAAAGTTTTTATGTATTTAAAGGAAAGTCACTACAGTGCCACACACTGTCTCACTGAGAAGACAACCCTTGAATTCACCGTTCACAGTTACTGTCATTTTAATAGTTACGATTAAATGTTGTAAATGGTTACACTTGGCCTCCACCTGTGTTGGCCTTTGCAGGTTGTTGGTGATTTTTCAAGTGTGAAGGACCCCCCGAGGGCAGATAAGTTTAACCACAGCCCCAGTCAGGTTCCAAGAGGTCTTGAAAAATGACCTTCCTTTTGAGTTTCTCAGGTCGACCCGGGTGAAGCGGGTTAACGAAAGAACAGGCCCTGCCAAGCTGGAGTCTTCCTGACCTGCTGCTTTTTAACGTCGTCATTCCTTTGCCGGAAACTCAGTCCTTACAGCTGTTTTTGGTTAGTCCATTCGAATGTCCATTTGGGGACATACTCCTACAGATTAGTCCCTATTCCTAACTCTAACACAAGATAATATTTCATCGTAAAAAAGCTGCTAAGGGAAGGTCTAGTCATGCAGGAGTCGGGCTGAGATGGCTCTGAGTGAATCTCGTTGACACCATGGCGTCCTGCGCACTCACAGGCACCGGCTGGTTTTGGGGTGAGCAAAAAGTGGTTTCTTGGTTCCCCAGCACATGGAATCTTCCTCATTTCTGTTGTGATTATGATGCTGATGAAACTATCAGCTTAGGCTGCTTCCTGACGAATCTCCTTCCACAGCAGATGTGAAGGCTCAGCAGAAAAATACACCCGAGGCTTTCCCCACCTCAGACTTCGGCTCAAACAAGGAGCACACTCTGATTTCCTCACGAGCTTCTTCCTTAGGGAGCACCAACCCCTTCGACGTCTTTTCCTACCTACAGAACACAGTGACTCTCAAGTCCCCCTCCAGTTCTACCCTGTGACAAAGCCTGACATGTGTGTGTGGCGGGGTGGGGGCGGGGAGGGCAAGGAGAGAGCAGACACAGGCACAGAGCAAATGGAGAGAGGTCCCCAAAGAAGGAAAGAGAGAGGGTCTGAAGGGCACAGGGAGCCGGAGGTACTAGCAGGACAGAAGCTGAGGACGTGGAGGAGAGTTGGGGACAGAGCGGGAAAGATCAGCTGGGGTGTTGTCACACAGGGACGCCCAGCCAGGCATTGTCACAGACAAGAGAGAAAGAGGAAGGAGACAGGGCAGGGGAGGGAAGAGCCAGAGGACACACGGAGGACGGGAGGGAGAGAAGAAGGCTCCACTTGGGTGTCTTGTGGCCTCTGATTCGTCTGAAGGTCAAACACAGACACACTGCTGGGTTCTAAACTCAGAGTGTTGTCGTCCAATATCTAATTTGAAAAACGTATTAGTTGGTTAAACACTACTTACAACTCTTCAATCCTTTTTATCAAAAAGAAAGAGAGAAAGAAAGAGAGAAAGAAAGAAAGGAAGGAAGAAAGAGAAAGAAAGAGAAAGAAAGAAAGAAAGAAAGAAAGAAAGAAAGTAAGAAAGTAAGAAAGTAAGAAAGAAAGGAAGCAAGGAAGAAAACTATAGATCATTATCTCTTATGAATATAGATGTAAAAAGAAAGAAAGAAAGAAAGAAAAAGAAAGAAGAAAGAAGGAAGGAAGGAAGGAAGGAAGGAAGGAAGGAAGGAAGGAAGGAAGGAAGGAAGACAGAAAGAAAGGAAGGTTCCATCTGAGTGGTATCATAAGAGTAGCGCATTAGGACAGAAGTTATACCCTATTGCAGCCTCAGGCAAAGCAATATCGCCCTCAGGAATGAAGTCTTTGATTGTAGCTACATCGGAGGTGTGACCTGTGTCATCTTCTCCTTGACCTTGCTCCCTGCCCTGACTCCACGGCTCAACCGACTGGGGTTAATTAAAGCCATCTTTCTCCTGCTAACAGTCACTTGCTTTGGGACCCATTTGAATTAAAGCACCTATCAGAAAACAAGTCCCAAGACTGTCCATCTGTCACAGTTTACAGATTGGTCTCTTTCTACAGACTAGAAGCGATCCTACCCTGGCGCCTTTTAATCTAAACACTCTCTTCAGTTCCCTTGTGGGCGATCTTTCTGGCAGCCCTGACAACCTCTCACGTGTGAAACTTCAGCATCTGTGCAGAAGCCACTGTCACCTGCTCCAGCCCTGCTGGGGAGCGGAGCTCCAGAAACCTGGCCTTGCGAAAAAGAGAAGCGCTGCCTTTGTCACCGCCTTGAGGGCCGAATCCTGTGCCCAGGGGCCGCCTGGACGGAAAGTTGTGGGCAGCCGTCAATCAAACACTTACTTCTGTTAAATTCTCCCTAAGGGCAATATGTAATTGACAAGAAATATCGAACCCTTTTTTTCTGCCTGTTTTACTCTTTTCCCACTCCCAGCAAGCCTTCTCTACTAGCCAGAGCTCACTGCGGGCAACAGCTTGGAAGACTTTAGCTTTCAAGACCGAACTGGCTCAGGCAACAGGTGCTGCTGCCCTTGACAGCTGCAGGTCAGAGCAGCTGCTCCTCCCCAGAGATTCCAGTTGCCTCATCCAGGCATCTCAAGAAGACACAGCTGTGGTATGTGGTGAGGGTGCTTCCCCAAATCCCAAACTCTCAGAATTCATTCAGAGCAATCCCAGTAATGTTACATATCTAATCAGCTAAACTAAAAACAGGGCTTTTCTCCTTATTTCTGCAGCTGGGATTATATATGGCTTGCAAAATGGCTGAAATGCTATTGATATCATTGCTTTTAAACTATACAGGTGTTATTCTTAATTCACAATGCTCTGAAGCAGATAAGTGCTTTGAAATTACAATGATGAAGAGTTTTAGCATTAAGGTTCGATTTGTACCTAGTGATCAGTATGTCTCTCTTAACAGTAGCGATTGTAAAAAAAAAAAAAAAAACAAAAAAAACTTGTGAATTCTGTGTTAGAATTCAAGTTTGCTATTTAACTTTTGAATTCAATGCACTGTGCCACAAGCCAGACTGCTCTGTTATGTACATTTAATGTGTATGCCAGGAGAAAAAAATTACTAGCACTATTGAAGGTATTGCAAAGTTGCCACAGTTACTGCTTAGAAATACTAAGTTCCCTCTCTCCTTCCTTAAAGTATATATTACAACTCTTCCATAACTTAATGCAAACGAAGTAAACTCTGTCTTTTCACATCTTAAAGCAAAGATATCTTTGTTTACATGCGAGAATAATAATTCTATAATAATACACCAGCTCTACGAGCCGGTTCTTTATAGTAGGACGTAATAATGAAACAATGATATAGAAAGAGCCAGAGAGACCTACACACTGGCACTGACGCAAAGCCCACTGGGAAGTTTTCTCCTGTCCAAGGTATCTAAAGATAGAGAGGAGGACTGAGGGGTGGAAAGGGCTGAAAGAGTAGGGTTCTGTGCGCTAGGAAAAAAAAAAAAACAAAGCCATTCTATTGCAAGATACAGATCAAAGGTTAGAAGGCAAATTTTACTACATTCAGAGAATAAAAATGTAGTAATTCTCTCCTCCATACGGCACATCTGCAAGTGTGATAACAACACACTTTGCATTGGCCGTAGGGGAAAAAAAAAAAAAAACATCATGGAAAAACCACTGACTAAAAATGACTGAAAAACTCCCTTTCCCTTTTTCAGTCTAATCATTTGGCATCTCAGTGTGGTCCAGATTTAGATGTGAACCACCCAAGAATATCACGCTGTCTTATGTCAAGTGCTCGGCAATACCTCTCAGTAGGACGCTCCTGCAAGGCTAGCTAATTTTAAATCTGGCATGAGTAATCCAGTCAAACCTAGTTAGTATGCGAGAAAGTCGTTGCGAAGGCGGAGTGAGAGGATGTGATGTCACAGCGCGAGCAGTCCCTGGTTGTCCCGTTGTCGGATAAACGTAGTGCATAGATCCAAGTTTCCACTCCGGGTCTCCGGAGCCCAGAGCCAGGTCCTTCACTTCCGCTGGGCGGCCTGGAAGGCCTTCAGCTCCACCTGGTACCACTAAAAACTTCCCTGGGGGGCTGTGGTCATAGCCGTAGGCCACAGTGAGCTCCTCATTGGCCTCCACAGCTCGGAGGGTGCGGATGCATTTGATGGGCCCAAAGCGGGGGTGGACAAACCTAGACGGGGAGATGCGCACAGTCATTCCCAGGTAGGTGAGGAGCGAAGACTGGGGGAGCGGGGCTGATGCAGGAATCACCCCCCCCCACCCCCGGCTCTTCCCTGACACCGTGGCTACGTCCTCAGCGTGTGCTAACGGCGAGGCTCAGCCCCACCCCAGACCTGCTGGACTGACACCTGCATTTTAACGACACCCTCAGGTGATTCATAGACACATTAAAGTTTTAAAAAGCATGCTCTACCTGCCTTTGTGAGCATATTTGGCACTCTGTATGTGTAAACAAACAATCATGGTCAATGACAAAATGCTGTCCTTAATGAGAAATCAGATCCAGCTGCCTGTCAGCATGCAGCTCACCTGGCCTGCCGCATGGGATCACCCACGTGGCTGTACCTGGGGGGAGGGGCGATTCTGGAGTTGTAAGAAGAGCCTTGTGGATGTACAAAAGCCAAAGGCACCGTATTCCGCCCCATACAGATGGCAGAGGTGACCTTTCCCAGCAGAAACGTAGATGGAGATTTCTCTCCAAGAGGGAAGAGTCTTGACCTCATTGCCAACTCGCTTCTTTACTATTTCCCCGTGAAGCATCCTCTCGTCCTGTAAGGAGTCCTCTCAGAAACAGGCAGGGCGGTCACTGTGCTATGATCCTCTGCCAAAGGCTCCCAGCCCGGCTCACCTGCCCAGCTCCCTTCACGGGGACAAGAAGCAAACAAGTAGTGGACTCAGCTACCTAACAGCTGCCCAAACCCCAAAAAGGTACGTGCATGGGATGGCCAGAAAGAAATGTGCTTTATTTTCATATGCGCCTGGTCAAATCAGTCTCATTCATGTATTGTCACATTTTTAACAAAGGGCATTGAGACACCAAAGGAAAAGTTTCCGGCCCAAAGGACACTGGCTTATGGGGAGTGAGTCAAGTCCTTGGCTGGTTCCCTCTGTCGGTGGTGGGAAAGGAGTACGTCTGTGGCTTGGGGACATCTTCACGTGGGGTTAAAAGGAACAACGTTGTCCTTACTCCAGGGGCCTCTGTGTCCACCCTCCCCAGGGTCACTTTTCCTGGAAAGCAGACTTGAGCTGGGGTCAGAGACTTTAATGTGAGCCCTGGTTCCGCCCATGATTACGGTGCCCTCTTGGAAATTTTACTCTTCTCATCTGCAAAATCGTAACGCTAGCAGTAATCCTTATCGGACAAGAGTTGTCGTTGTGACAACACAGGGTCACGTAAATAAAGCACCTCACACAGCGCCTGGCACAACGTGAGGACTCAACTAATCTCAGCTGCTATGCCGAGTGCCCGTGCGTGTGTGAGGACATTCACATGCACAGAATTCTCAGGCTGGGCTCCGTCGCAGAGGCGAGCCCTGGACCAGGGGCTCAGGAATTCCTTATTAAAATCACGATTCTTTGTCTTTAAATTAAAATATTTCGTTAAAAAATAACGCTCCTGAAATAGAGCTCTAGTTAATCTTCTGGTACACAGAAAAAAAAAAATCCCATGAGAACCCCAAGACTTCTCTTATAATCCTCTCGTATTTTCATTTTCCCGCTCATGATCATTATTTTCAGAGACCAGAAGATGAACAGACTGAAAAGGAAGAACTCAGTTTCAGGTGTTGCTCCTGAGGGCGGTGCTAAGACACGGCAGTTAGGAACACGTGACACCTTTGACTGAGAGACCTGCATTTCCCGTCTGTGACCTGGGTTGGAGCCAGGAGATGCCCCACGAAGGTCCTGGAAGGACTGCATGAGGTGATGCCTGCGAGGCCGTCAGCACCTCACCAGCTTAGAGTAAGTGTGTGGCAAACATTAGCTGGAGTATTAGCTGTCAAACCAAAACTCTGCACCACGTGGTCTGGCTCCTTGTCAACACGTTACCTATATTTACAGGTAGGAAAGTAGCTCTTGACTGTTTGTCCCTGCGGCATCTTGTACCTGATGACAGTTATAAGTTTACAGAGGTGTTGGTTCGTTTATGTTGGGAGTGCATGATGATACCGATGATTTTAGAAACAAACAAATGGTCTGAATTGGTATCTGCATTTTATATCTGGTTATTCTTCAGGTAGTCTTCCCATTGCCCCAAATAACTAATTGGTCACATTGAAAAAATAACCCTGAACAGGACAGGAACTTGATTTTTCATAAATGGTTCCTTTTCTTGTCTCCTGTGCTCCCTTCTTTTTGGTGAGAAGAATCATGTCTTGCAGTGAAATCACCGAACTGATTTGTTTTAAAACAGCAGTCTAAGTTGCGTTTATTATCGTCCATCGCCCCTGCTTTAAAGGGTTGCTGTTAAGCTGTGTGCAGCTCAGAATGAGGCTCTGGCCTGATTCACATCGGCTACGAAAGCCTTGGAGTTAATAACGGTGTCCGTTTCGTTTCACATGACACACGTCCTTTGCCATTTCTACCCGCCCTTTAAACAGAAGTTGTAGCTTGAGTACTTGTGACCGACGGCCAAGGAGAGCAAGTCACTGCCAGAATAATTTTTAAGCCATCTCAGGGAGGCAAGAAGGGACAGTTAAATCCGGGCAATGTCCCTACAGATTAAATGCACATGATCTTCTCCTGCTTATGTTAACAAGCTAGAGGACTGAGGGACTGCAAGCTACAGCCGAGTGGACACGGCTGCACACGGCCTCCTGGACAAACTGGCATTCTCAGGCTGAGCCAAGGGCAGCAATGAGATAGGACAAAGAATCCCAACTGTATCCTTTAGTCAGATGCTGATTTTGGGAAGCGAACATTCAGGGGCACATGAAAACTACTAAAATATTTGTAGGACTACCATGTGGAAGAGCGATTGAAGGGAGCTACCTAGGACCGGATGTTACAGAGAAACCCATTTGGGTTCGATAAAAAAAGTTTCTAATCATCAGAGCCCCAAAGCTAATTTCACGATATCTATTTCAGTTTGTCCAGACACCCCCTCTGCGGATAACCGTAGGCTCCCCATCACTGGGGGTTTCCAAGACGAGGTTTAACTAGCGGTTGGAAAGGGAGGTTCGAGTTCCAGGACGGAGGTAGGATGATGCGAACTTTAAAAACAACAGCTGTGTGGAGATGCAATTCATCTATTATAAAATTCATCCGTTTTTAAAGTGAACAATTCAGTGATTTTGGGGGCAACCAAAACCTAATTTTAGAACCTTGCGTCGCCCTCAGTAGAAACCCCACACTCATGGGCCGTCGACCCCCATCTCCCCCAGGTCCCCCCAGCAGTAGGCGGCCACTGATCTACAGACCATCTCTATGAATCTGGCTGTTGTGGACAATTCTTATTAGTGTTCCGTTGTGACTGGCTTCTTGCACTTGGCAGAATGTTCTCAAGGCTCATCCACGAGGCGGCCCGTGTCACTACCTCATTTCTCTCTGTTGTCAAAGAATAGGGATTCTCTGATTTTATAGGTCTTTTCCAACACTGAGTCTGCATGCCCTGCGATTAGGATTTTGTTTTCCTCCTTCCTTTCACATCAGAAAAGGGGTTCCCTAATCTCCGTGATGCAGAGTAATTTCAATTTTTACCATGATTTCAAATATCACTATCCTTAATTTTCCAGAATGAGGCAACCGAAGGACAAAAAAGCCACAGTGAAGCAGCAACCACAAAGTATAGTATTGCCAGAGCATTTCTACTCTTTGAAGCACTTTTCCATTTGTCAGCCTGCCCAAGAGCGGGCTGTTTACATTCTAAGTTTCAAGTCATGCCCGTGAGGCCCCTGGCAGGGGGCTTTCGGATATTTCTGAGGGACCGGCAGCATGACACCTGTCTCGTGCCCTCCTCCATCTCAGGGCCCCGAGGCGCAGATCCGCCCAGCAAAGGCTAGGTGCCACACTTACATGTCGTAGATACAGTTCGGAGTAAAGGAGTGATTTGCCTTGTGTCCCAAAGAGGCACAGTACTTGGACACGTGGTTGTAGGGCTCAGGCACGTCAATGACCGTTTCTTCATCAAGGGAGAGGGTGTTCCCATTAAGGGCCCAGTCTCTGCTGTCAACCTGCAAAAATAACAGAGTGTCAGAGAGGACCTTTCTCCCAAAAGCTCGAAGGACATCGGATATATTAACTCATTTGTCCTGAAACTTCATGGTTTGAGTCCCACAAACATGAAAAGAGCCTAAAGCATCCCACGGCTGCGGATGGCGCCTGTGGCCACCACCAGGCAGCTCAACATACTACTGATTTATGAATTTTCCTTGTCTTATATGAAGAAAAGGATTAAAGTCCCTTACAAAGACACCCAAAAATGTAACCAGATGTCCCTAGGTTGTTTATTTCTTCCCTGCAGGCTGAGACCTGAAAAGCCCAGCCAGCACCAAATTTGAAGTTTTACACATCCAATTGTTTTTTTAAATAGCCCAAACAAAGCCGAATTTTAGCTATTGAGAGCCTGCTTTCAAGGGACACACCTCGCTCCCCATCTGTTAGCAATAGGTAGGATAAACCCAGGATGGCCAAGACCCCAGACGGCTGCTGTTCCTTGGGGCTCTCTGGTGCAGAGACTCCTCACCACGCTCGCTGTCAGCTAGATGTGTAGGCCCCACCCTCATTCCTCTCTCAGGAGCTCCCTGCCCTCCTCCCCGTTAGATGATGGCCTCAGTGCCACAGACCTCTGCATGGTCTATGCTAAGAGGACGTCCCCTCTCAAGCAACCCTGCCCAAGCCCCACCCGAAGCTCGCTCTGTGCTACTGCTTCTTGTGGTCATCTCTCTCTCTTTTTTTTTTTTGATCGGCCCCAACAGTGAGGAAGAGGAGGCAAAAGAAAAGCAAAAGTAAGAACATCAAGTGGAACCAGAAATCTAAGGAATGCCAAACTGCACTCCAGGGAAGTCGCACGTCTTTGTCGCAGGTGGGCAATCACTGTGACCAGCACAGAGTCACCGATTACTAGGGTGCTTTTTTCCTACAGCAGGACAGACTCGCTACCCAGTGCAACCAACAGCCTGCCCTTCTCCAAACCCCACACTCCAAACCACACCCCAGGATTTGCTGATACCAGCAGAGCAGCCTTTCAGAGCAACGAAGATCACAAAACCGTTGACTCTCAGAGGTATCCCGAGGCTCCTGCCTCTAAATTACATTTAAGCTGTCATTCGTATCTGAGATTCATTCAGGAGACATTTATTGAGTGCCTGCTGTTCTAGGTGGAGGGATATAGCAAGGATGAAAGTGAGGAAAATCTTTATGGATCCTAACATTCCAGACCCGTCATGCGATACTGACATAAGGCACTTGGTGCCATCTACCTCGTGCTGCCATGAGTTGCGTGTTTTCTTATCTCCCCGACAGAATCTGATTTCATGAGGACAGGGAGGTTGCCTCATTCATGTGCACAGAACAGCGTAGCGAGTGTCAGCACAGAGCCAGATTCTGCTATGGGAAACCCTGCTGGAGCTCTGCGAGTTACTACATCTGTGACCTTGGGCAAATCGTTTAACCTCTCTGGGTTTCGGCTTCCTTAACTGTGAGGTATTTTAATAAATAAATTGCATATCGCTATCCCGAGCCACCTTTCACATGCTGCATTTCTGGGACTTTCAGGGTTGCTGATACAGTGGTCTGGCCGCCACTAGGGGACACGGTGTGCCAGACCGCAGCTCGTCTTTGTGCGGCTGCTTTGAACGTGCAATAACTTCATTATTTCATGCATGACCCCCACTTATCATTCCATGGCGGTAACTGAAAAGCGAAGACATGAACGTGGGGCACAGTGGTAAGTGTGAACCCCACACACTCAGCACAAGTCAGACTGGGCGGAGCGTGCAAGCTACGCCCAAAGCACTGAGCTTTTGGAACTTAAGCAGACACTTAAGGAAGTTAATTGTGAAGTCAAGAAAGAAGACAAAATTATGAAATCTGGGAAATATATCGAAGATGGTGTCTCAAAGGCAAGAGGTGATTCAGCGCCTTCGCTTTTAATTATTTTTTGGAATAAAACCCTTCCTGGATAGATGTAGGCAGCTGTATAGCTTTTGCACAGACAGAAGTAGGGGTCTCCTTATAAAGCACCCAGAAATTCGTTATTGACAGAATTCAATTGGATCTCAATTTTTCAGATATGAGGTGTAGCCTTGCACAAAGTCTCATTGAAAGCACCCTTCCACTTTCTATGAAATAGTTGTGGAACTTAAAAAAATCATTTTAAGGATCAAAATAAGGAAAAAAAATCTGCTATCGAGTGAACGTTTGTGTCCCTCAAAAGTTCATATGCTGGAACCTAATCCCCATTGGGATGGTATTCGGAGGTGGGGCCTTTGGAAAGTAATTAAGTCACAAGGGCAGGTGGAGCCCTCACGAATGGGATTAGTGCCCTTATAAAAGAGACAGCAGAGCACTCCCTCATCCCTCCTGTCATGTGAGGGTATGTAGAAAAAGGGCCACCTATGACCAGGAAGGGAAGCAGGCTCTCGTCAGACACTCTGAAGATTGCCATAAGACAATATCCAATTTTACAGAAAAGCGTATCTGTTTGTTCCTTTACATTTCCAGTGAATTCTTAAGTAAAGGGACTTGTGAGAAAATTAAGGGTGTGAAACAAAGCCCTTTAATCGAGTTGATTTTCCACTCTGCTCCACTCACCTCTTGGTGTGTAATTCGGACTCCATTATAAAAAGACATAACAGTACTAGGTCCCACGGCTACCTTTGAAAACAGTCCTTCTCCAGCACTGGAAATGAGAGATTCAGCGACATAAACCCTAAATGGCAAAAAGAGTCAAATAACGATTCTTTAAATTTGGTATGTCACTATTCACATCAACCACCAAAATATCATTACGGCTACTGAATCCAAAACATCAGTTCATAATAATCCAATGAGGAAGGAAGAAAGGAAGAAAAGTTAAATATTTTGGCACTGGAAACTGAAGAACTGGTACTTATGTCTCTTTTAAGAGTGGTATTTAAAATTTGCTCTCTAAAAACGGGGTTATTACAATACATTCATAAAGCAGCTCAGTGCTTGATATAAAGTTTAAAGATTTTTTTATGTTTTTAGTTAAAATCAATTTCACTGTCTTCTTGGACAAATAAAACATCTTCCAAAGCTACTTAAAACTATAACTAAGTTTGTCCGTGCCAAAATAGGAGGGTAAGATTGTTTTAATTAGGCCCCAAGATGAATCTTTTGCATGAAAGAGTGACAAGTGATTCATAAAACCCATCCAGTAAGCACTTCCCAACAAAGGAGTTTTTAACAGGTCAGCTAATGGAGGCTGAGGGGCCAAATCTGACTGCAGCCCATCTTTGTAAATAAAGTTTTATTGGAACACACCCACACAGACTATTTGTTTAGTATTGTCTATGACAGCTTCAATATTATGAAGGAGGAGTCGAGTAGTTGCAATAGAGACCCACAAAGTCTAAAATTTTTACTATATAGCTCTGTACAGAAAAAGTTTGCAACCACTTATTTTATAAGCAAACAGCACTCATGATTATTGAACTGGATTTAAAAAGAGTACCTGCTGTACCAAGAACTATTTCAGTTCTTCGGGCACTGTGATGTCACCCCTCTGCTGGAAGTGGTCATCTGTAATTTTTATTACATAGATCTTATGCTTGTTTTATGGAGTGGAAGACTGAATTATTGCTTCCAACTCTTTATTCCCCCCACGTGATAGAATCATACATTCTGCCACTTTGCCATGTGACCTTGTGGTGTTTCCTCAGAGCTGGCAGAGGATACATCCCTGCCTGAATGACTTGGGGCTCGGCTGTATGATCTGCTTTGCTGTTAGAATGTGAGCAGAGTGACTGAGTGCCAGGTCTCAGGCGTTAAGGGGCATGGCGAGTTTCTGCCAGGCACCTCCTGAGTTTCCATTCATCTCGAGAAGAAGATGGCCCAATGGGCCGTTGCTCCTTTAGCCTGAGTTTTGGAATGAAGACCTGTGAAACAGACTCGAACCCAACTTGAAACCTGGAGTCCGGCCTACTCCAGCTGAGCCGGGATGAGCCCAGTCAGAAGCGGCTGAACCTCAGCCAACGGACAGAACTATGACCGTAAAATAAAAGGTTTGCCTTCGTAAACCACTGGTAGTTTTGAGGATTTGGTTATGCAGCATCATCACAGCCATAGTAACAAAAAAGACTGATACATACAGTGATGCTACACACAGTGTTTCGGGACTAACAAGAGACTAAACCATTCCCTTTCGAAAGGGGCCAAAGCCTTGTGTCAAGAAAGAGACTATTTACTCATTGTGACATTGGGGGGCCAACCTTGTCAGTTAAACCAGGGAAGGGGCCTATTTTTCAGATAAGAACTGAACAGTAAGCGAACAAAAGCCATGCTTTGTAAGCCAGGCTTACAAAGAGTGAGGCCAAGAGAAAACCACCTGCAGATGGTCTCTTACTCATCAATAGGCCGGTTGCTAGGAAATAAGAACCCCAGGCAGGGTACCGGAGGAGCCACACCGAGAATCAGGAGCTGAGTTTAGATAAGATAGGAAATGGAACAGGACCTGACACTCTGGGAGTGGGCTTATGGAATCAGACACTTGTAATTTATAAGCTGGAATGTTTTTACGCTTTTTATATTTTCTTCGCTTCACTCCTGTTCTCCCTTCGTGAATAAATTGTCTTGTGTTCCAAACCCCCTCCGCTGGGCTGAGTAGACAAGAAGGCATTCTGGTCCCTGCCCAGGCTAGAGCTTTACAGAGTGTGACATACTCCCTTAGAGGCCAACATGTATCTGCAGTACAAACTGTGGCACCAGAGCCCCAAGAAAGGGGACACCAGGCAGGGCATAGATGGCTGCCTGGCCCGACTGCTTCCCTCTGCAGAGGTTTCATTGTAGAACTGACACACAGGCTGTTCTGTGCCTTCTCGGTAGAGAAACTCTCTTACAGGGGCAGGTTCTATATGAGAATAAAAACATCCTTCCTGAAAATATAAGGATATATTTTTTTCTGGTCAGGAACTCAGCCTGAGCAGAGAGCCACAGAGGACCATGAGTTCCCACCGCCAGGGTTATTTACCCTCACACAAACAGTGCTATTAAAACCACAAGGAGAAAATTACCTCTCTGATTCGTATGGATCTGGAAGAAGAGCGTGGGTAGAAATGCAGGATGAAGTCGACTTGTCAAAGTGGTACACTGAACCTGAAAAGCAAACGAAACTCTCAGTCCACGTACAGAGTTAGGAAAAAGCATTTAAAACATATCTCTCCATCCATGGGACCGGGAAGAGTTAAATAATGAAACATATTATTCAAGTTATACCAAGTTAGAATAAAATTCTTCAAAATAAGAGGACAGTTTTTAGATTTGCCCTTGAGAGTTTTAGGTTCAGGTCTTAACAAACAGCTGTCAGAAGTATCCCTTAAAATTCTAATTTTTCTTTTGAATTTTCTTTATTCAAATGGTTTAAAAGGTGCTTGTGTAATTAAAATTTTTAATCAAGAAAATGCTTTGTCATGAAATTTTGAGATCTCTCCGGTCAGATCAGATTGGATAGCGGTTTTAAAATTTTTCCTGTGGTTTTCGTCACATGAGACCCAGTCTGTAGAATCCAACCACCCAGCTCAGCGATTGTTCTCTTCCTCCCAAAACAAACATTCAGCCTCACCAGGATGAAGAACAGAACTGCTTTTGATCAAGCATTTACAAAGTCATCCTATTTCTATTAAAGTGATTCAAAAGCCAATTAGTAATTCATTCCAGAAATAGAGTCCTAGAATCAACAACCGTCCTAGGATAACATTGGTTCCCTGCAAAGGGCTGGCCTAGGAGGGTCCTCCGAGGGCACAGTGGAAAGACAGCGGCTCCGAAGGCTAAGAGGAAATGCACTTCAGAATGGGAGGGCTCGCTCCTGCAAAGTCGATTACTGTAGGCACGAGGGCCTCACGAATAATGCCATTAAGCAGTTCCTCAGCGGTTCCCAGCGGGTACCAGGTTCTCTCTCTCTCTCTCTTTATATATATCCATATATATATGTATGTAGATGTATACATACATATATATACATATATATATTTGTCAGTCAGTGTCTAACCAGGAAACAGATCGTCTGAGTAATTCGGAAAGAGAGAATTAAATTCAGGGAATTGGTGACACAGAAGATGGAAGAGCTGAGAAGGCAGATGGGGCAGCGAGGAGTCCAGATACTGGCAAGAGCAGGAAGACACACCCCAAAGCCAGAGGGACAGAGGCGGAGCCGGGGTTCCTGGAGCTCTTCAGCCAGGGTAGCCTGGGGAAGCTGGAACCATGGGGACCCTCCTGGTGGGACGTGGAATCAGGACGCAGGCCACTGCTGGAGATGCTGCTGGACGCGAGAGGGCTTCTCCCTTCCCTCTCGTGTCCCTGGCCAGTGCCTCTCTGTGGCCAAACCCAGACAGAAGCCAGAGGCGCAGGAGTCTGCAAGGGGCAGACTGCCCCGCAGCAGCAGGAGGGCAGGGAAAGGCTGTGGCGTGCATGCGAGAGCACTGGGAACGGACCAGCACACGCCCCATTAAAGGAGGTTCGCTCAAAGGAGGGAAAAAAGCCACACTTTTTTTTTTTAATGGGATTGGCTTTTATTCATTCATTCATTCATTCATTCATTCATTTATTTATTTTTCAATGAGAGTTGACATTCAATATTATTTTATATTAGTTTCAGGTGTACCATATAGTGGTTAGACATTTACATAACTTACAAAACGATCCCACCTGGCACTATACATCGTTATTACAATGTTATCGACTGTATTCCCTATGCTGTATTTCACATCCCTGTGACTGTTCTGTAACTACCCGTTTGTACTTCTTAATCCCTCCACCTTTTCTGCACAGCCCCACGATGCCCCTCCCATCTGGCAACCGTCAGTTTGTTCTCTGTTTCTATGAGTCTGTTTCTGTTCTGTCTTTATTTTGTTCCTTAGATTTCACATATGAGACCACGCGTACTTTTCTTTCTCTGTCTGACTTATTTCACTTAGCATAATGCTCTCTCTAGGTCCATCCATGCTGTCACAAATGGTGAGATTTCATTTCTTTTCGTGGCCGAGTAATATTCCATTGTGTATATGCACCACATCTTCTATATCCAATCGTATATCGATGGTCACATAGGTTGCTTCCATATCTTGGCTATTGTAAATAATGCTGCAATGAACACGAGGTACATATATCTTTTCAAATTAGCGTTTTGGATTTTTTTTTTTTTTGGATAGATATCAAGAAGTGGGATTGCTGGGTCATAAGGTAGCTGTATTTAAAATTTTTTGAGGAGCCTCCAGACTGTTTTCCATAGTGGCTGCACCACTTTGCAGTCCCACCAACAGTGATGAGGGTTCCACATTCTCACCAACACCCTTTGTTTGCTGATTTATTGATGGCAGCCATTTCTACAGGTATGAGATGGTATTTCATTGTAGCTTTAATCTGCATTTCTCTGATGATTAGTGACCTTGACGGTATGAGATGATATTTCATTGTGCATTTCTCTGATGATTAGTGACCTTGAGCATCTTTTCATAAGTCTATTGCCCATCTCTATGTCATCTTTGGAAAAATGTTGATTCAGGTCCTCCGCCCATTTTTTAATTGGATTGTTTGGGTTTTTTTTTGTATGAATTCTTTATATATTTTAGATATTAACCCCTTATCAGATGTATCACTGGCAAACATCTTCTCCCATTCAGTAGGCTGTCTTTCTGTTTTGTTGATGGTTTCCTTTACTGTGCCCCCAATTTTTATTTGATATAGTCCCGTTTGTTTATTTTTTCTTTTGCTTGCCTTAACTGAGGAGATAAAGCAAAAACCCACACTTTTAACCAAACTTTTCTGTGGAATACCTGTTGAATTGTGCAGAAATTCTCCCATGAATGCCCATCTCCTTTCCATAGATTAACACTTTCATCTCGAACGCACTAAGTATCGAGCACAGGTAAAGCACTGTGCTGGGGGCTGTGCAGACACGACGAGGAGTAACATCTCTTCCCGCTTTCAAGGAGTCGACACCACCTTTTCCAAAGCTTGCCGTCCCTTCCGCTACTCCTGACGCTCCAGGCAAATAGAAGGCATTTCCTCTATGGGTGACACTAGGACCTTGAACTAGAATTCATTCGTTCACTTGACAACACTAATTCTAAGAGGTGAGCCAAGCCTTAAAGCTGGAATAGGACTTAGCCAGGGACAGGAATTCCATGTAGAGAGGCGAGGAGATGGAGAGAGAAGAAATTCCAGCCAGGGCCATGATACAGAAAATCATCACGGAGAACGTAGAGATTTAGAAGCGGTCTGTGGTTACAGAAGCATAAGGAGAAAGGGTAGGCTGGGGGGAGAGGTCAGGGAGGTGACAGCTGAAGTGTTTCAAGTCAGATATTTGCATTCTGTTTACCTCCTCCCCAAACCGTTGGGCCAGACGGCCACATGACCCCATAGAACCCGATCTATGGGCTTAGTCAGCGGTTTAGTAAATGTAACGAAAGGAGGGAGTGGGGGAGAGAAACGGAGGTGGCGGCACACTCAAGATGTTTCGAGTCCCCAAAGCGGCCATGGTTCCTGACCCTTCTGAGACCCAAATTGTTCAGCCTTCCTAAAAACAGCTGAGCCTGCCAGAATCTTGCCAATAACTGCCCTCCCGACACCTCCTCCCCGCCTTTTCGCCTTAAGTTAGCTTGAAGAGGGTGTTCGCTATTTGCAACCAGGAGTTCTAAGAAAAACCATCATTCCCCTGAGAATGATCACTCTTACTTCCCAAAATCTGTTTCTTACTAATACCAAGAAGAATGTAATAACAACAAGAACTTTCGTTATGGTCTTTCGTGGGGGGTGCCAAGGCCTGTATTTTAGAATGAAGGAATAGGTTCTAAAAGAATAAATAAAAATAACTTGCCCAAGAATATAATGCAGTAAATGCTGGAGCTAAGACTCAGCCTAGATGATGTATTTTTTCCCATCGTCATTACTTATTCTTTTTAAAAATTTTAATTAAATTCATTGTGGTGACATTGGTTAATAATCTTACATAAGTTTCGGGTGTGCGACTTTATAATACATCATCTGTATACTCCATCATTTGCTCACCACCCAAAGTCTAGTCTCCTTTTGTCACCATACATTCGATCCCCTCTACCGTCTTCACAAATGAGGCGACTTCAGTTCAAGGGTCTTGCCACTAACAATGCTGCCACTTCTGAAGTTTTAAAATTCGCATCACCAGTTGGGATCCTCCCCTGGCCTCCCAGTCTCTTCATTTCTACACATTAAAACACTGTCTCTGTTCAGGACATATGTGGAGAGCATAGATATTAGAGTCTGAAGTTCAAAGATTACTATTTCGCTTTCGATTTTGGAACGATTTAAAGTTTACAGAAAAGTGGCAAAGATAGTACAGAGAATTCCCAATACTCGTAGCTGGAGCTCCTAATGTTAACTTCTCATCTTACATGGTTTGTCAAAATGAAGAAACCAGGATAACTACATTGCTAAACTCTAGGCTTTATTCAGATTTCACCAGTGTTTCCACTAATGTCTCTTTTCTGTTCCAAGAGCCAACCCAGAACTCCACATTGCATTTAGATGGCCTCAGATTCTAACTTAAAAACACAACCAAACAAAAAATGAGACATTTAAAACAACCCAAGTTGGACCTAAATGTAAAGTGCTAGATTTTCTACTTTTGGACGACCTCGTTTGGAGAATCCCCTTCAGATCACAAATAGCTAAAGATGATTTAGACCCATTAACACCTACATTTATTATCTTTCCTTCTTTCTTCTCTGTGTAACTCGAGTTGGATTGGAAATACATGCATCAATTGTTTTCAGGGAACCAGACCAATTCAAACAGCTTTCTGATGCTGTACCACTCAAAATACTAACACACACACACAAAAAAAATCTTAATTTTTTTCCTTGTATATTTTCCAGGTTTTTGACAATAAATAATTTTATAATCAGAAAAAAATGTTTTGTGTACCACACTGTACTTCTAAAAGGAAATAGGATTCTTTTCCTAACATGGATTCTGGTGGGCTCACTCAGACATCAGATGTATACTCCAAGCAGATGCTGGGCTCTGAAGAGGGTGGGGACGCCAGCATGCACTTACTTTTTCCACTCAAAGCTCAGGCTGACTCAGCTTTATAAATTTGTACCAACTTGGAGACCTACCTAATTTGATTCTTTAATATCATTAAACCGCAGTTCAATTTTTTCTGAAATTATCATGTTTGAAATCGACTGCATTACTGATGTCATTTCTTCGCTCCTTCCCAGTATTTGAAGTGTACAGCTATTCCTTTGTCATGTGATTTTCAGCATCTGCTGTGAAAGTGCATGGTATATATTTCACTGTCCCATTGATGTTTGGCTTGGTCATATGACTTGCTTTGACCAATGAAAAGTGGGTGAAAGTGACATTGTGTTAGTTACAACTTGAGGCTGTAAGAGGATTCATAGGTGTCTGCTCGTGCTCTGGCCTCCTGGGACCCACCTAAGATCTTGACTCAGGTTGCCACTGTCCCTTTAGACTGGGCCCCAGAATTCATAATTACAGAGCAGGCTGAAACCTGATTAGAAGCCTCAAGTTCAACCTGAGCCAGCCAAGCCCAGTCCAGATGAGCTGGTAAACAGAACTGCATTTGCTGTTGAAAACCACTGAGGTATTGAGGTGTCTTTTATGCAGCCAAGTTGATTAACACACCACTAAAGTGAACTAGACAAAGAAATGAACTTCTCTCAAACAAGCCCTAACAACCTGTTCTGGAATTAGAGCAGCCCATCCGAAGCAGATTCAACTTACTTCCAGGCATCAGTTCAAAGTGAGGTCTTCCTTCCTCAGTGGACATAAGGGAAGCCAGTTTTCCTTCGATCATTTCTCCATCGATGAATTTTCCATAAAGAGCGGTCCTCTCGTCTGGGTAGACGTAGGCTATCTTCTCTCCAGTCATCTCCCCATCCTCATTTACTTCCCCTACAAGCCTGCCTCCATCCTGGTGGGAGAAACCAAGAACCAGAAAATATTATATATAGTATTTATCTCTACGATATGAGCTTCAAGAAATTTCTCTCGTGCACTCCCATTAACAGCACTAATATGGATTGTAACAGTTTAGGAACTCAGAGGTTTTCACACGAGTGAGAAAAACATGACATATATCTCCCCATCCAGCCTCGTGCAAATAAACGGCTGGTAGGTACAAGCATGGGGCGCAGAAGCCTGATTTAGAGCCAGAGACTCAGCTGCACTTTATAATCCTGGATAAGTTACTGATACTCTACCTTGGTTTGTCACCTACGAAATATGTCATATTTGTAATATTAGTTACAAACATTTACAGGAAATGTAATTGTGTTACTTTCAGCCAATATCGAATGTGACGAGGATCTGTGGCAAGACAGTCTTACCCACTAGTCATACAGTTTTACTTCTTAATGCCGAATTTTGGGTTTCTGGTCTGTTAGGAAAATCTTTAATTCAAACGTACTTAAGAATTAATTTAGCGTACATGAGTAAAGAGAGTTGCCTGCATTTTCTCTAAGAGATAAACAAAGTTTCTGGAAACAGCCTATCTGAGAATCCTATGCCATCACTTTTTTTAGCGTTAGAAGAAAAAGTGAACAAAGATCAACGCATTTCTACTCCCTTCCCCATCGCTTCTTTCTCCCCACTTTTCTTTATTTACTGCTCCCGCCTGTCTCCTTCCAGGAGAGGAGCCAGCTGTGCTTCCTGTTTAAATCTGTCATTTATTTTGTCCCTAAGGGTCAGTAAATGCTTTAGGGCAGAGGCTGTCATAGAATTCTGGATCCTGGTAAGTGCCAGAGACACAGAAGGGGATCCATAAATGCTTTTTGAAGTGAACTGGAGTACCAAAAAAAAAAAAAAAATCTCATAAATCGTCAAAAAATAATATAATCTAGACTGCAAGAAATATTTCTCCCCCTGCCCCCACCCAAGATGTCCTTATGGTACAAGTGAAATTCTAAGACCTTCGTGGATTTGATATAACGATAGTGACACCAGAACATCTTCTAATGGCTTGGTTATGTCCCCAACTCAAAGGTTGTGGGGGCAGCTCCTCGAAGTCAGTGATGCAGGATGACTTCTTCGCGATCCCAAATGCTGCTTACTGAGAGCCGGCAGGAATAAATAACATCGGGTACCTGATTTCTACGAAGTTCCTGGAAGTCTAACTGCTCTTTGAAGAAAAAAAAGTTTATAAACTAAAAAACGAATCACAGGACTTCATAGAAAGAAAAATACTTGGGAGCCTTTCTCATGGCTAGAAAGTGCATTAGGGATCTATTATTGCTTTCTCCTCCCCGAGTTAATTCTTAATAACCCAGCGTAGACGGGGATGAAACTTTCTGCAAGATCTTCCTTCAGGCTTTCAGTGACGATTGAGCTAAAGGGTTTTAGAGTGTTTGTGCTTCTTCCTGCCGAAACTAATATAAGCCATGGACATTGCTATTTATTGTCTTTCTAGCGTCTTACATTTTTTTCCCCTTAAGTACTTTAAACTTCTGGTTTTGGGGGGCAAATGAATTTATTTGTCTAGAATGATAAAGCAGAGAGTCTTCTTTTATTTCCAAGAGGGGTTATGAATTTTTTAATTAAAAACTTTATATCACTGCTCTAAAGGAAAAATTTGAAAGAAAGTGTCTTTAGAGTGAGCTTACAAATCCTGCAGAGGGAATCATAAGTTCTTCTCTCTTCGTTCCTGCTTTGACCCCCCTGTCACAAAAACGTCCTCATCTGAGGTGTCCATGGAGGGTTGGGGAAGAAGCTGCCGCTTTCCCTCCTCTGCCCAGTGGCTCCTTCTCTTGCGAGGAGGTCTTGTTCATTTGGTTAGTGAGAAGGCGGGGTCTGACACACACTGACACCCATCTTGCCACTGGGTTGCGGTTAACAGGACAAAGGCTGCTGCTCCCGTGTGTCCTGCACGTTTGCTGAATTTTTGCTCACCGTCTCTGGGGGCCTGGGAACTGGCAGTGGCCTCAGGCGCACCTGTCCCCCTGCACACCTGTCCCCCTCTCCACTCCTGTCCTCCCTCGGGCAGGCTCTACGTCCCCAGGGGAAACCTGCAGCTTTCTAGCTGCTCTGTCTGCAGCTGGCCCGTGTGTCCAGAGGAGAAGGGAGAAGTTCACACCACATCTCCGATCCGACACCGCCATACTAAAACCGACACCGTGATCCCTGACACCTACTCCCATGTCGTAGTCGATTCTGAATCCAGAAAGCAGAGGGATGGGATGAGCCCCTCCCCTGCCAAGGGACACCAGAGATAAAGTAAGTATCATCCAACAAGCTCATCTGAAAGCTTGTAACTCTCCAGTGCTTCCTTCCCAGGGCAGACAAGTCTTCTTCGGATAATGACGAAGGCCAAAGGCTAAAATGTAGCTGCGCAGTTAGGTTTCAAAATGCAACCACACCGAGTAAGGTGGACCCATTCACTTAGTGCACCTTTGATCTCCTCTAGGGACTTAATTGATCACAGTCACAAATACAATGACAGGTAGTGGGAGAATCTGCTAATCCATGTTTTACCTCTTTCCTATGTACACCCTCCTGACACACAGTCCCCCTTCGCTGACTTCAGGAATCACTGTTATATCCACAGCAAGACGCTCACCCTGCGTACCCATGACGCAAGGAAAGCTTCGCTCTTCCTAAACCAGTGTCTCCACCACCACGTCTGGGCAGTAACTGAAAGGACTTCTGACCTACTGCAGATCCTGCCGACGGCATGTGTGTTTCCTTCAGTCATTATTTTAAAAATGTTTTACAGGGTTCTTTTCTTATGCCCTATCCCTAGAGTAGAACTTATTTTTTAAGAACAACAATATGTAAGTAAATCTGGCTGGGCCTGCTTTTCTTGTTATACGTGTAACAGATACTTTGTTTTTATTACTACTTCTTCATCGCAAGAAGATAGGGTTCAGAGAAAGACAAAATGTATTTTGACTGAAGCTCTGGACAAAATAAAATGTTAGATAAAATATTTTCTAAGGTCTATTTTCTAAAACATTTTCTGGAAACTCACTAACAACAGATGGGATATTTGAAACGCAAACAAAAATTTAGAGCATCGGTTCCCAACCAAGGCTTTTGCCACATCTTTTTGCTCTAGTAAATTTCATGTTATCAAACACTCAAAGGCAAGCTCATTTTAATCACCTCGATTTAAGCAATGTAAAGCATAAAGCAACTTATTCAGTAGGATTATTAAGTAACTACCGTGTAGTAAGTCCAGAAAGATGGAGAAGGGCTGGAATAGTTCTTATATATGAGAAACAGAATAAAATTAAATGCGACAATGAAATATTCCACCATCTGTTTCTATAGGATAGCAAAGTAATATTTTTAAAAGTAATATATTTTTTGTCTTTATTAGTGGTACAATACAACCAATTGGCCTCAACTTGTTTCAAGGATGATTAATCATTCCTTTCTAAACCAACCGAAAAGGAATTCATAGTAGATCGCAGGACCACAAGCTCAGTCAGTAGCGAACCACAGTGAGGGGAATGAGCTCATGAACTGTTGGCTTCAATTCAGCTACTGTGACTCTCAAGTTTCACAGCTTCACGTTTTCTGATGTAGAGAATGCATTTGACTCTTTATGGTGACGAGTCAAAGCACTGTCACAAAACATTCTACTTTCCAGCACAATGAGCAGTTGCAAGGCTTACTGGGTAATATATCCAGCACACTCCATGCCGAATGTTATCTTTATACTGTCCCTTGAAGATCAGCCTCCCGTCCGTGTCGTACTCCTGGGCGGGACCGTTCAGCTCTCCGTCCACATAGGTGCCCTGGAGCACTCCCCCGTCCTCGTACGTGTAGACGCCCTGGCCCTGCAGCGCGTCGTCCGCGTAGTACCCCTCCAGGGTGCTGTGAGAAAGGGGAGAACACAAGGGCGCTGTCAGACCACGACTGGACCCTCCGGAGGTAAGGATCACCTCTCTTCAGGGCATCCTCCTGCATTCCCCGAGATTACTAGGAAAAAAAAAAAATACTGAAATGTGGGTGGGATTAGGAAGAGAGGGAGATTTCATTCCCAGCGTCCTGGTTCCTATTTTCCTCGGCAGGAAGAAATGGATAAGAAAGAAGCCGCAGGTGGAAACTTGAGAACAAGGCTCATCTGAGTTTGTTTCCAAGACGAGGAGCGACCGCTCCCGATGACAGAGATTCTGGAGTCACGCTTTCCACAGATAAGCCACGCAAGCATGGCTGCCCTCCGGGATCCGCTGGTCGACTCAGGGGTCTTTCAGTGGGTTTGTACATAGTGATCTCTAAAAATACAAATGTGGTTTACAATGTGTAAATGCCTACATATTTGATTTAAATCATAATGCTTTCTTTGTCAGTGACAGGCATAATTGGATACCAGTCAAAAAAATCCCCTTCCATCTCTTTGGAAGATATCCAGTGATTTATTTGAGTGCGTGCATGCGTGCGTGTGTGTGTGTACGTGATCATGGAAAATAGAGACGAGTAAGGAAGAATGCAGGCTAAACTTTGCTAATATCATTAGCAGCCTGACAACGTTTGAGACCCACAGCCCGAGCACAGAAGAACATTCGGAGGGGTGCTCGTGGAACGCTTGGAGGGGTGCTCGTGGTGAATTTACAAGCATCTCTCTCTCCCCTCACCAAACACTTTCAGAATTTCGATAACATGTTTTCAGAGTTAGCCTCACAAAGGCCACGATGAAACTAACTTTACTGAAAACTCTCTTTATGGACCGAAATTTGGAATGAGGGGGAGACCAGTCCAAGTTATTTTTTAAATTTAAAATGTAAGATGTTTAGCAATGAAGACACATTGACGATTTTAACATGTGCAGGTAGCATTCATTCAATAACTGAATTAGCAAACATTTATAGGATGCCTTCTAAGGAGCAAGCATCGTGGGAGGTCCTAGAACGCCAAAAGCAACACCATCAAACAAGAGAGACTGGCAAATGCTTTGTACCAGGGACAGGTGGACTCGAGAGGCCGTGGGGACTGAGGTGGTGGCACCTGACTCTGTCTGGTAAAGTCTTGTGTTGCTTTAACAACTGATAGAATGATCTGTAATTATTAAATGAAAAGGACAGTCTAAATAACGATAGCCTCTGATTACATTGTAATTACACTATTTGTAGTCTCCCGAGGAGACAAATAGTTCCCTTTCTCTTTTGTTTGTACTATCAGTGACAAATAGGCTTATTTTAAAGTGCACTTGAGCAGAACGCTTGCCAAAATAATCAAAATTCTAAATCAGTGAGGTTGGAATTAATGAGATTTGACAGTCATTAGACTCCCACAATTAAAAAAAAAAAGCAGCCTTGGTGAAGGATAACTAATCAACTGACATAATAATGCAATAAGTAGTCCAAAACACTATTTACCTTCAGTTTTAGGATTGCCAGAGAAAAATGCAGGGTGCCCAGTGAAGTCTGAATTTCAGATAAAAAACAAATAAATTTTTAGTATAAATATGTCCCATATATTGAATGGGAAATAGTTAAACCAAAATATTTTTCATTGTTTATCTGTAATACCATCTTCAGTATGGCCTCGGATATTTATTTGCTAATAAATAAACCTGGTGACAGCACTGACTGGATTCTCAGCAGCATTCAAAACTGAATTGCATGTTGGGTAGAATGATCCCCGGATGGATTGGTCTGCCAATGTTTCCCAAGGATATGATCAAATCTACAAGGCGTGGCTCTTGAGAATTAAGCAATAATACAAACTTGCATATATTCCTCCCCCCAGCCATGTCCAGGACCTTGTCCCATCCCCCCTTTGCCATGGAGCCTGTCCTCATTAGCATCATAATACTAAGAACCAACTGCTCTTTCCTTTTAGCCCAACAGATATAAGATACCCACATTCAGATTCTGAAGGCGCTGCAGAGTGAAACGTAACCGAATTATTTTCAGCACTTGCCTGGGTGCTGAAAGTCTTGGCAAATTTTTATGGTGGCTTGGATGGGATCTGATGACAAAAGGGGCATGTTATCACAGAGGGTTGGTTCTCCAGAGCCATAAAAAAAAAAAAAAAAAATGTGGCTTTGAAATACTCTTTCATGGGGAAAAAAAAATAAAAGCTTCTCAGTCTGGTGTGAAAGGTGCTACCTTTCTTTCCAACTTTTCCTCCTCCAGCGGAGGTCAGCGAGCCAGGGCCTGCTGCCTGTTTTGTAAATAGAGTTTTCCTGGAACACAGCCACACGCATTCCTTCCTGTACCCTCTATGGCTGCTTTCACATGACAACAGCAGAGTTGAAGAGTTGCAACAGAGACTGCATGGGGCCCAAAAGCCTAAAATATGTACTGCCTCACCCTCTGCAGAAAAACTTTGCTGCTTCCTGCTCTAGAATCCTCTGCTCACGTTAGCTTATTCACGGGCCCCGAACACACCGCCACATATCTTAGCTTCCATCGACATTTTCCTGGCTCCTCTCCTTAAAACATACGTAACCAAACTTTTAAAATCCCTGAGAACACATTCAGAAAACATTTATGGGTCACACTCTCTTTTACCTAGACTGACACATCTGTATTCTGTTCAAGCATTACCGTATTTTTAAAATTCTCTTTAATATCTGAACACACAAAAGTGGTCTTAGGACACATTGGCAGCTTCGGCTTCTCCTTCACAGTTTTGGAATCTAGAAGGTTTTGAACTTTCTACCGCATAGGACATAAACTCCGTTCCCTTCCCCTAAGGAGTTCCCTTCCTGTCTGAGGCAGTAAAACAATGTAAGAACTAAGAAGGAAATTTAAAATGAATCATAATTCTACTTCAAATTCTCATCTCTAACCAAATTAAATCATGACTTCTAGTCATGAATTGAAACATTCTTTTAGGAATCATTTTATATGACAATATATATTATCTCTTAAAATATTGAAAACTAAGTAAAGAAGAAGAACATCAACAACGAACCCAAACCATCTGCTATCCAACCAGAAGCTTCGACGTCTTCCAAGGTGTGATCAGCAGCCAAAAGGCACACTGCCATGCTTCTGTGTGATAGGCGCTGTCTGTCTATAAGGTGTTTTGCCCTTTAATAGACAACCTATGAGTCTGTAGGCTCTGATTCTTAGAAAGGCTCAAGATGACAGTTAAAATATTTGAGAAGCACTTAGTGAAATTGGGTTTTGCTCTCTGAAAACAAACCCTAAGAAAACTCTGCTAGTCATCATTATCAACGAATAACAGTAACAATAATAATGAAAGATAATAACGATAATTCGTCCTGGACCTTGGGGGCATTATGCTAAGTAAAATAATTCGGACAGAAAAAGACAAATGTTGTATGTCCTCAGTTACATGTGGAATCTAAAAAAGCCTAACTCACAGAAATAGAAGAAAGGAGGTTGCCAGGGGATGGGGAGCGGGGGAAATGGAGAGATATTGGTCAAAGGGCACAAACTCCCAGCTGGAAGGTGAGTAAGTCGTGGGGAGCCAATGCGCCACATGGTGGCTACAGGTAACAATACTCTATCATATACCTGAAACTTGTTAAGGGAGTAGATCTTAAATGTTATCACCACACACACACAAAGGGTAATGATGTGAGGTAATAATTTCTCAATAGGTACGTGTTTCAAATCATCACACTGTATGCCTTAAACTCGCATAGGTTGTATCTCAATTATATCTCAACAACGGAAAAAATGCAGATACAGAGTAATAGAAAAAAAACCCAGGCTTTCCTGTGAGCGCCTACTAGGTGGCCTCCACTCTACAAGGTCTTTGCAGATTTTCCCATCCAATCTTCCCAACGCTCAGAGAAGTAGGCATAATTATCTCCACTTTACAAACGAGGAAGAAGCCGACTCGCCAGAACAGGGCCCCTGGGAGTTGTTCCCTCAGGAAAAACTTCCATCCGACTGCCAAACTCCTACCAAGGTGTTCAAGCTCCTACAAGAAAGTAACTGAATTCACCCCAGGACTCCTTTGAACTTCTCACAATTATAGCTGATGAGTGACCTCAGGCAAAGTTAAAGTATGGAAGAAAGACCATCAGAATCAGAGGCATTTCCTTGCTTCTGGTGAGAGGAGGGTAGTAGATGGAGAAGAGGGTGGCTCTGCCCTTGAACTGACCTTGGCTTGGATCTCAGCTCCAACCTTTACTAACTAGGGCAATTTGGGGAAGTTACCTAACCTCTGTGCCTTCGTCTCTTCGTATGTAGCGCGGGATTATAAAACCGACTTCACAGATTGTTACGGAGACAACCTCTCCGGTGTCGAACGAATGAGGAGGATTAAAGTTATCCATTTCTTTTCCACTTCCTTTCTTCTTGTATGTCACGAAAATATTTGCCTTAGTCAGAACTGTTCATTAGAATACAGAGGAATATATTTATTGAGCCTGGTTCCAACAAAAGCTGGATGACTGTCAGGGACAGAGAAGGGACTTTATTTTGCCTCACGTGGGAGGTTGGAATACGTGACTTCAGAAGTCCGTTCAAACTCTAAGTTCTTTGTAATTGCGACCAAACACTTTCTGAAAAGCGAACACGAGAATCCTGCACGGACCTGTCACCTGGAACACACCAGCCTTCAGTGGCTCATCAGATGGGCAGCTTCGCTGGGGTGATTTGGCCAATGATAAACTATGAGGAGCCCGCTCAGCCAGACACATTCACATAGCAAATCGACACGAGAAAATGCCAGAGGCACAGGAGAGTGAAGTCATGGAGCAGTAAATAATACTTTGGAATCTCACTGGCTCACGAGGAGAGAGACAACTAGACAAACAAGTAAAACTGAAAGAATTAACTCATCTCTATCTCAGAATCAACCTAAAAACCACACGGTCCCCTAATAGGACACAGCCTAAAGGCAATCTGCATTGAAATACCCCTTCTCTGGAACCATTCTAAGATTTTGAGAAGTCCTGCTAAATTGTATTTCTATCCATAAATTTTGGTTGAAATGAGATGAGAACAGTTAAGGGAAAAATATATTATCATAAACATGTAGGATCAAGGATGTGTCTATCAAAGTATTTTGCATACTAAACATTTTCATGACACTCCACAGTCCTCCAGCGAATCCACCCTAGAGCCCAGTCAGCAAAGCCCATGCTCCCTTTCTCCTCGCTGCATAAATGCCCCTAACTCAGGACCAGAGCAGATGTTAACTCCCAATAACCTAATCTTAGGACAATTTTCTTCTTTCCTTTAAAAAGAGGGAAACATGGAAAATAATAGCTGCTTGAAAAGACAATTTTCAAATTAAGGGTCAGTTTTCGCATTCATTCTTCCCTCATTTATGTGATAACTTAGCCGGAAAAGGCCGAGTGGTCTGACTTCAGGTGTCTGACTAACTCGGCTCTTCTGTTTTATGTTCTGTCATATAATAAAGGAAAAACTAACTGTTGATTAAGATCTCAAAACCAGCAAACTGTCTTCCGAAATTGAGACAGGAGTACAAAAGTAAACGATTAAATTTACCTTTTAAAATTTAGCTATTTAAACTTAGTTTAGAGATTTAGGAATGCATAGCTTGTTTGTTATTTTGCCCTGAATATATTTAATTAAGATGTTCAAATGCTTTGCCAACAGTGGTGAGAGGGTCGGTATTTTGAAGCGAACGCGTAGCTCAGTTTTGGCACCTGGTTCAGAAGCTCGGTTTAGTCCATCAACACTCTGTGTATCAGGTCTGTGTAGCAGTCAGGTAACCTCTGAGACGTGGGGGTGAAGTTCAAAACAAAAGAGAGCACGTTCATTTTTTGCATTTCTGTATCTCATGAAGATTTTTTATTCTACCAAGCCCCTGGCCACATATGCGATTTAAAAATAAAATAAAAGATTCCGCTTCTATCTAGAAACTGGGTTAAAAAAAATTAATAGGGCTATTTTCCTGGTGAGCTGAAGACTGAAAATCCTTATTCGAGTTTATCATAATCTTTGTTAAGGGAAAAATGGATTCTAGAATTTTCTTGCTATAAATTCATACTTGTTTGAAACCTTCCCGTAAATCACATACCAGTTAATGGCATAGATCATGGTGACGGTTTCACAGACATATATTTAACTCCAGATTTACCAAGTTGTATACATTCAATGTGTACAGCTTTTTGGATGTGAACCATACCTCAAGAAAGCGGTTTAAAAAAAATCACCCGTGTGGGTTCAGGTTTTATATAAGATTAGAACGTATCCCATCTGTATCTTCTGTCTCTAGACTTTGTGATTTTGCAAACACAGGGTCCCACAATTGCAAACAAAGCCTTTGAGAGGAATGTAAGCCAGCACGACAGGTTTGAACAACTTTTTACAACTCTCAGAAACTTTTTGTTTCCTCACTTTTTATTTCAAAATCTTGATTTCAGCCTTTTGGGGGGATTTTTTTTTTTTTTTTTTTTTAAACCAAAGCCTCTCGACTGGCAGGAAAGGTGTAGGGTCCTCACTTTATTTCACCTAACACATCGGACCCGAAAAATTGGGAATGGCGATAGGTAGAAAAAATAATAGACAAATGTAAATTAGGGCGCTGCTTCATGTAGAGAAAAATGGCTTCTCCCGGACCGAATCCTGCATCCCCCTTAGAAAGACCGAATCAAAAGCACGACCTTTTTTCCAGTCATCAGATTCTCGCTAATTTTTGCAGAGACTCCTTTTAAGAGATGCCTCATAACTTGATCAGTACTGGGCTTCAGAAGGAAGGTGACGGGAACCTGCGCCCACCCCACTTCATCTCGTGTCACAGAAGCAACGATACCGACTCTCTTCCCTGGAGGCATCAGTCCTCAGCTACCCGAAGAAAGCTAACAAAGGCGACCTCGCGGGGCCTCACTGACGCCACCGCGCTTGGACGCCACTATTTGACATAAGTCTCTGCAGGGTTTTGAGTGGTTGCTATGAAAACGAGTGAACTGGTACCTCAAAAAGAAAAAACAATCAACAAATTTCTTTCCCACAGGTAGTTATTGGCTTCATGTTTCGGCCTGGCCTAGTGCTTCCGCTTTTTCATGTCTTGACACACATGCAAATTACTGCAACCGTGTGACACACTGGGGTGACTGGATGAAGCTGTTTGGAGCCAGAAGTGATTAGCTTGACAGAGGAAGGGAGGTTTTCGGACGTGTCAGGCCCTCACGCGTACCTGCCTCATTCTTGGCACGTGGTTCAGAAGCTCCGTCCAGCCCATCAACACTGTGTTTCAGGGTGTGAAGCAAGCAAGGAACCAGCAGTGAATTCACCCAAACCTGCTGGACTGTTTTCCTGGAGTCAGTCAACGACTTGCTCTGATCGTCAAACTGCTAGACTTAAAGCATGGCGCGCGCGCGTGCGCGTGTGTGTGTGTGTGTGTGTCTGTGTGTGTTCTGGGTGAATCCTACTCTCAGCTCCCACACTCATTCATCACGAATTTTTTTAAAATGTCAAATGAAGGGAAAGTGCTGTGAAGCACAGGAGAGGAGACAGACAAGGCTCTACCCTTGCGGAACCCTCTGTTCTGTAAGGGAAATGACACATTTACATAAACGATATTTGTTGGATGAATAAAAGAATAATTGCAGCACGAGGTAAAAATGGCCACTTTCCAGAAGAGAGCAATACATTCGTGGCTATGGGAACAGGAAAAGATTCCCCCTGGACAGGTAAAGGGACCGTGCGAGAAGGAAGCGCTGGTATCAGATCTCGAAGGAGTCCTCTGTGGAATTCAGGTATCCAGCAGGCATTCAAAGCAGGGCAAAAAAAAGGGGGTTGGAATATCCGATCATTCAAAATGTACAGTTTATAAGCAAAGCTCTGCTATAAAAAAAAGTAGGGTGTGGGGTTGGGGGCAATGGGAAAGAGAAAGTTAGAATGAATAATTAAAAGGAAATTTTACAAAAGCTCTATGATGGGTTGATTCCTTTCCTCACCCCTCCTGATATTGATGATTTGACAGCCTGAGAAACTGTTCATATTTTTTAAAACGACCTACTCCTTCTATAGAAAAGGGATTCTGGGTCATGAGCCAGTCCCTCATTGCCACCCTTCAACTGCCAGCTTAGACATTTCTTTTCCCAAAGGAATTCCAAAGTTTAGGACGTTTCAGACTATTACCAAGGCAAGGAGCTTGAGCTAAACCCATATCTGTATTACCCAACCAAGTGGTCTGGAAGAGCTGGCCCTTCCGTGACTCTGATTCCTCTAAATGCTTGACAATGCCTCATGGCCACGCTTCATTTCTGAAGGTGACAGGGTTTCAAAGTCATCGGAAAGCTGAGCCCACGCAGAGAGAAAAGTCTTACATCATTCCAGGGATCGCGGTTAAGGAGGTGAAGGAGCTTCTGCCCCACAGCAGCCTCATACAGGAGGGGAAAGCAAAGTAACAAGAACACTGCTGGGGAAAATATTTTAACCAGAGGTAGAACACAGAAGCCACTAGGGCCGACATCAGCCGTAAGGCATCGCACAAGAAGTTCAGCTGTCTCAAGACAAGCACTGACAACACCGTGAGGCCGCGGCCGTTCACCTCCTGTGTCTACCCGGACCGTGACGATGTGGCTTCGCAGAACTTGGCTAAACGTTCTCCTGACCGATCTCATGAGGAGAGGGAACGCGCTGGGAAACTGATGAAGCCGCAGAACCGGCAAGGTGGCTGATCTTCCCTCCAGGAGCAAGAAACCAGCCCGTGAGGACTGACTGGGCGGATGGCGATGGAGGGTGCGGTACACTTGGAAAAAAGCGTGAGTTGGTCACAACCGGAACTGCACAAACCAGCCTCTGACACAGACGACCCGACGGTGTGATTTCATGGAGACCCATTATCTGAATGAGCAGGTGAGATCCATCAAAGAAGTGGGTGACCACCCAACCAAATTGTGCCAGATGGGGGCCATGAACCTGGCCCGGCAGAGCATCTCTTTGACAAGCACGCCCTCGGAGGCAGTGACAACCGAGCTAAGCCTTAGGCTGGCTTCCTCGTAACCATGGGGATGACTTTTCTGGTCCCCATAGGTAAGAATGCGTGCATGTCGGAGTTACTTTTACGTTTTCTATAAGTTGTACCAAAACATCCACTAAAATTCTTTCATTTATATCATTCCTTCAAATAAAGGAATTTGGTACCTCCCCCTCCCCAACAAAACAAAACAAAACAAAACAAAAACAAAACAAAACTGTGAGTGCTACCTGCCGTCAAAGAAGAAGAACTTCCCCCGTCCGTTCTTTTCTCCGTGAACAAAGTTCCCCTCAAACCTGTCCGTGGACGAGTAGGTGACTGAGCAGAACCCGTGTGGCAATCCGTCGTCATCCAGGTGCCCTGGAGAAAGGGAACCACAAGGCAAACCTTAACATCTTCAACGCTCACCCCCTGAGCAGCCACAGGGGTCCCCTTCCCTGCCCAGCAACAGCTTTCCAGCTCCCCGCATGGGCAGTGTGTCGCCCCAACTGTTCTGTACACTTTATGAATGGACGGACGGGTCCACAACAGAGAGACTCAGACACATTTCAGAATCTGAACCAAAAATAAGCTTGCGTTTTACTGGGGACTGAGAGTTCTTATCAGTAATAACATCTGCAGTGCCTGTTTGAATTTACCAAGTACTTCCCCACGTGGTACTTCTTACATTTGGAATTAAGGCCCCCAAACTCATGCTTAACAGAAATGTAGTTGAGATAGCACCATTTTATAGTCTATTGTTCAGATATACTGTCTTTGCAAAAAGTCATCCAATTCTAGAATAAATATACAAATAATTTTACATATCATTATATAGTGCGGCGTGGAAGACAGCTAGCCAGGTGACTTCTGAAATCTCCACTGCTATTTGTTAGATTCAAACAAGGGGCATAGCCACATCTCTAAAACTGCCCTAATATTTAAACACCTCATTGTGCTAACACATGAACTCGGAGTCCTTCTAACCTTGAATTTAAGCTTAACTCTGAACTTACTGCTTTATTTTACAAAATCTTCCAGCTTTGAACATTCAGTAATAACCTTGTCATATACCCTTGACCACTGTCATGTACCCTCGACCACGAGGGTTTGTGCTTCAAGTGTAGCTAGAAGCGTCCACATGGCCATTTAAACAATGCTTCTGAAGCATCAAGCAGCAGTTATTACACTGTGATTTTTAAGTTGCTGTTTCTGCCTGGGTCCCTAGACTAGTGTATTACAACATTTATGTTTACAGTCAGTGTTTAGGTTTTTTATCATTATTTACATAGTTCACAAAACTCAGCAGTCACCTCAGTGGTGTCTCCCCAGACATTCTTGCGAGCTGATTTTGCAGAGCTGGGTGAGACTGAAGGCAGTAGTTAATCTGCTGGCTTTTTCCTGGGTTAAGGACCTGGGTCATGGATGAAAACACCATGGGCAATGCAATGACATTAAACACTTAAATGTGGCTTCCAGATGGCTCGCAGACATAAAAGAAAACACAAATTGTATCACCACCATGAACTCTTTAGTCTCCTAAAATGATTTCTTCTGAAGGGATAAAAGAATATCATTCCTTGGGAGAGATGGTAAGTAAATACTCTTCGAGAGGACAGAGAAGCTCTTTATTTTTTATTGTATTATTACATAAGCATAAAATAACAACAGATACACTGTTTTATTGCTACACCTGACTGTGTAGAATGAGTTACCTAGAATATATTACAATAAAACATGGCTACTTAAATAAATCACAACTGGCATAGTTCTTTTCCTCTTAACGTAATTTTTTTCTACCGAGGGCCAGAAAATTAATGGTCAAGAGGGAAACAGGCCATGATTGCTTTCTTCTCTCTTGAAAATAAACTGTATGTGACATAATTCAATGACATTTGAGTCATATGAAATAATTTGGACAATTATTTTCTAAGTATCTACTGATGACATTTCTCTCATTGAAAGAAATTAAATTTACTTTTTTCTTTTCATAAAAAAATCACTCGGTATAAAGCTAAAAGCTTTCTTTTATGAAATGTTGTCGGGAACAAATTAAATGTATCCATTAACATGCCTATGAATTTAGCATTTCATTTTTGATTTAGGTATAAATATCAGAATAATCATTTTAGCCTCATATTGAAGTATTTACTAATTCATTGAAAATGCTTTCCCCGTAGAAAACAGTTCACATATTTCAGACTTTAAAAAGTTAATGTTTGATGAAATGTGTTATTCTGCTTTAGATCAAAGGAAATATGATGATAACCATGAACACGAAGCGGGGAAAACCCCGGTGTAAATTCACATCCACCTTCCCCTGGTCACTGCGGTCCTGTCCTATTTCTGAATAAGACACTGCAGGTGCACCCTCAGCAATGACATTCAGATGTTCGAGAAAATCGAAAGTTCCATATAACACACTAAAAGCACTCGAGGGACAGTGCTGACTCCAAGTGAGAGGAAAGCAAAAATATCACTCTTGCTCCGTGAAGGATACTTGTTTCAACGCCTTTTTCATTAGGCCAGTGCGGGGAGGGAGCCCATCCCCTTCTCAGTCTCCCGGAAGAGGGAGGAACAGAGAAGAGCTGCCGACTGATGCCGATGGCCGTGTCTCCGGCGACGTCAGAAGGAGGTGCGTGGATGCGTGGCTCTTCCCTGCCATCGTAAAGGTGTTCGGTTCTTTGTTGTGAGCAAGTCCGAGTCTACCTCTCTCAGACCAACGCGGGACCCCTTGTTGGCCTGTTTGCTGTGTTCTCCAAAAAGGAGGACAATGTGATCGATTAACAGGACCGGTGAACAGTTCAAGGCTGCCACTCTGACTGTTTAACAGCCAA